AATTTTGTGAAAAAACTGAAGATTTTCGAAAAAATTTATAAAATTTTTTGGATTTTATGACTTCTCTGAGGACACAGAGTAAACCTACATCAATATAAAAATCGTCTAGCAAAATCAATGCTAATTCAAACAAACTATAATACCTAAAGGCACGTTCCGGAAGCTTCTTGCGAAGATCGACCAAATTGATAACAACACGTGAGCCATTATCTTTGATCATTTCCTCGAATTTTTGCATGTACACTTTTTCAGCTCCCTAAAAAAATTCCCACTGATAATAGGCAACTTTTTTAAAGCGTTTTTAAAGAATTTCTCAGAAATGTGCAGACCTTTTTCAAGAATTCAAGTTTCTGGAATTTCGAAGGAAATCTCGAAAATTATCAAATTTTTAGAAAATTTTCACAAAAAAAAACACCTTTCAGAGAAATCAGAAATTTTCAAAAAAAAAACTCCAAAAATTATCAAATTTTTAGGAAATTTTTACAAAAAAATTTTTTTCTTTTGCAGGAGTCATCAGAATACTATAACAGTCTTCTATTAGAACATACCGAATCATCCAAGAAATTCAGGTATTCAAGTGTGATTTCGCGCGCACGATTTTCATCTTCACGGCTGATCATATCCATTTTCCTCAGCACTTTGCTCTTCTACCCGATTACTGGTACAGAATCACTGACGTGTCCTAGAAATTTGAAAAATGGCAACTGCATACAGTTTTGAAAGCGAAGAGTCTGTAGTAGAAGGGGAGAGGGGAGGGGGCTTAGTGACCAGTAGAAGGAAAATCAGGGTTTACCGCAAAATGATAACCACTTTTAGTGACCAGTAGAAGATTGGCGTCCCAATTTACCGCAAAGTAATACCCTCATTTAGTGACCAGCAAAACAAATATCTGGATTTACCGCAAAATGGTACCCCCGTTTTGAGTGACCGTGCAAGAAGTACCCGGATTTACCGCAAAATTGTACTCCCGTTTCGTATATAGCAGATTTTACTGAAGTATA